GATGATTGTGTCTCTAAAGCAGAACATATGGAAGCCTGAGGTCAGTCTTGGGTGTCCATCCTCAGATGCCATCTACCTTACTTTTTGAGACAAGTTCTCTCACTTGGTCCAGAACTAGCTGATTAGGCTAGGCTGGTGGGCCAGTTTCAAAGAAAGGGAAATCTGGCTTTTATTTCAAGCTTTCCGTATAGTGAAAAGACAGAAGGGGAACTGGGAGGAGTGAGAATTTAAGCCATGTGCCACAAAACAGCAATAGACTGTTACTGAATCCCTCACAGGAAAAATTGAAGGAAAAGTATGTCTTGATTGGCTTTAGTGATTGTTTTAATTAAGGTTTCTATTACTTTAAAAAATAATATATTGGAGTCTGTCCTGAACCTGAGGCCATGCCCTCACCACTGGCCTCTCCTGTTCCAAGCATCAACTGCTCTTTATGACCACTTTATGCTTTCAAAACCAGTACCACCTGAGAACTCTTTATATACATACATACATACATACATACATACATATATACTTACTTACATACATATACACACATACATCCATACATACATGTTAAAAGCATTGGCTACTCTTCCAAAGGGCCTGGATTCAATTCTAGTACCCATAGAGCAGCTTACAACTGTCTGAAACTCCATTTCCAGGGGATCCAACACTTTCACACAGACATACATGCAAGCAGAACATCAATGTACATGAAATAAAAATAAATTTAAAATGAATTATAAAAAACAGAATTTTTCTTGTAACAGGTCCTTGGTAGACTATAGACAAAGGAAATTAGGTGTGTCCAGAGAACACATCAGAGAAACAATGAAGTAGCTTGGAGGTGGATGGTGGGAGACCTGCTGGTTGGAGGTTGCAGCCTACCATGGCCTGGCAGCTCTCTCTGAACTTGGCAACATGGAGGACTCCCTACCCCCAGTGGAAGGTGCCCTATTCTCTATCTAACCTTATTTGGAGACTGTCTTTATACCTGAATGCCTGACATCTATAGTATGACCCTTGACACCATTCCCTGCAAAAGCTTTCCCCCTACTGCCCATATGGTAATTAGACATTGTTCTAGGAGCTTTTCAATAGGACCATGCTTCCACAGATGATAATTAAGACTTGTACTTGGAGCGTTATGATAGGAGCATGCCATTTAATGCAAATTAGGTGATTCTCCAGCTACCATCCCCAATCCTATGCATCACCTATACTCTGGAATATAGCTGAGCTGTCTCACGGAAGCAGACTCCTGGAAGGCTATTTCCATTGTGTTCACAGGCTGTACAGAGCTCTCTGTTGCTGCTTCTGCCCCTTTGTCCTTACGGACTGGTGGCCAACAAACCATGGAGAAAAAGGGGGCCCCATAGGTGGAAAAGGAGATGGGTTAAAACAGTTGATTTTAGAGACCCTTGTAGATTTGCTGTGGAGGTAACATTAGGGGAGTTTATACCTTTAGATCTCTTGTATGTGGATGGATGATCATCTTTAGAGATAAGTAATATAGAATAAGAATGTCTTGGCTTTAGGAACTCTACTCATCTAGTGTTTCATAGGCCAAGAATAGGCTACTTGCAGGTCTCTCAGTATTGAGAGCTGCTAGTAGCAAAAGGCCATGGAAGTATACAGCAGGTGACAACTAGTGTTCCAAAGGTCAACCTGTCCAAACCAAGGGTTCTGGTAGAGGACTAAGCCATTGTGCAAGGCATGTTGGAGTTACTGCCTTTTGAATGAATTAGCTGTTCCTTGTTTTAAACTTCTTATGCAATTGTAGCTATGATATCTCCCCACTACCATACATCTTCATGTAATGTATATATGTAATCTCATGATTACCTCTTAATCTTATGGACACATATATCTATGAGTGATCAGGAAGATGACTTTTCATTTAGCTGTATCATTTTGATATATAGAAAATATACTAGGATATGCTTCATAACCAGATCCGTTGTGTCCCACGAGACTGTAGACACTTAAAGTCTAATTTGTTCCTTTTGCTCAGACTAACACAAAAAATAATAATCTCTCCCCAGTCAAACTCAAATTGCACATATTTAGCTCATTTTTACTTTAGATCAAGTTCAAACTATAATAAATACCTTTATAAATACATCATAGGTTTAAAGCTTTACAGTTATGATCAAGGTCAGAGTTGCTGTGTCTTACCAAGGTAACTAATACAAAACACCCTAAGAAAAGCCTGCCAATTCTTCGCTTGCCAAATCTGCTGATAAAAAGCTATGTCTCAGAGTTTGTTGCACTGGGCACTGCACCCCTCTCTCTGGTCCTGAGACCTTGGAATCTTGCACTACATGTTAATGGCTCTGCTCTTTATTGTCTATTCTAGGAATGTGCTATGATCTTGAGAGTTTTGAAACTTTTCTCAGGATTGTAAGGAGTCTCCCATTAGAAATGTATGGATAGTCAGGCAAGAGAGGATCTAAGAATGAGAGCTGAAAAGAATCTATAGGTTTAGAGAAGTGGTAGAACAAAGAGAGAGCAGCAGACAGATTAGAAGTTTACTTAGAACAATAAAGTGATGGACTGAAAGAACACATTGTGCATAGATTTATTCTTACCCTCAGATAAGTAGAGATTTCCTCACTGGTTGTAGGTCCTTCCTTGGACTCTTGGAGAAAGCTTTTGGGGTAGGCACCCAAACAGCTTTTACTATCTTAGCTCTCAAGCAGCTGGATGAGTCTAAAGCTTGGAACAGATGTGAGCATTATCAGCCTATCCCAGAACACAAGATGATACATAGAAAGATTAGTAGCAAAAGAAAAGAATCCATGCATTTGTAAAAATTTCAGAAGTAGCAAAGTGAAACAAAGACCTGGTGATGGTAGAGAATGGAGGCTGGTACCTATTGCCTGTCAGAGATCAAGGAAATGATGCTTTCATGGAAGCTGGGTTGTGCTGTGGATATCGCTCTGTATAAATAAAACACTAATTGGCCAGTAGCCAGGCAGGAAGTATAGGCGGGACAAGGAGAGAGGAAAATTCTGGGAAGTGGAATGCTGAGGCAGAGAGACCTGACAGCTACCACCATGACAAGCAAGATGTAAGGTACCGGTAAGCCACGAGCCACGTGGCAACTTATAGATTGGGTTAATTTAAGATAAAAGAAGTAGATAACAAGAAGCTTGCCACAGCCATATAGTTTATAAGTAATATAAGCATCTGAGTGATTATTTTATACATGGGTTGTGGGACTGTGGGGGCTTGGTGGGACCTGGAGAGAAGCTCTCCAGATACAGGGTTGCATACTGTAGGGAGTGGCTGAAGGACAAAGATGCTATGTTAGACTCAGCAGTTAGGAGGTCACATGTAAACATGTCAGTGGAGAGGTGGGGTGGGAACCAGAGGCCAGTGGGATGTGAAATAGTAGAAAGAGAAAAGCCTATTCTTTCAGAAGATTGAAAACTGAGCTACTGTTTGTGAGAGTTGGGGAAATTTCTGGATTCTGGACTAGTTTGTTTTAAATGGGAAATGTTACAGAAAATTGACAACCTTGTGAGGCAGTGCCAGTAGTATAGGGCCACATCATGAAAAAGTGCAGTGTGGGTAGGAGTGGGTGAGGTGTGTGTGCCCCTGTAAACATCATGGCAGGCCGAGAAGTGAACTATGAAGAGATGAGAATAAAAACCCAGTCCAGCCTGACTTAGTCTAGATCAAACTTCTATAGAGTCTGATGCCAGGTGATTTATTGTAAGCGTATTTAAACACAATAGAATTTGGAAAAGGATTTACAGGCAATAATCATTCCTATTCCAGGTGCACAACAAAGCTTAAGACATGACACCATAGAGACTCCTGGGAAGAGTATATATGAACATGAAGATAGGTTCTATAGTTTAAGGGCCTAGAATCTAGTATAGTCTCTGAGACAGCACAGAGGTCAGCAGGCTATAAAGTACATGTGACATCTCCCCTAAGAATGGGTTCTATTAACAGGGAGCTAAAGATAAGTGGCTAGGGAAGGAGAGTCTGGAATAAACATTCTGGGGCATTTGGGTGAGATTTGGCTCTACAGATAGCAAAAGATTGCCAGGTTTTTAACAACATTCACTCTCAACTTTCTTGGCGGAATGCAGGCATTTTATTTCCTCTGTTGAGAAGACCCTCCCTGAGTGTTTAAAATTCCTAGTTTCTCTAGTGCTCCGTAGGCACAAAGACCCTAAGCTTGAACCTTCTGCTCTGGTGTTAACTGCCTCCAAATTCTCACCTCATTGCTTCCTAACATTTGCATGATAGTCAAGAATCATCCTGTTGAGTGAATGCTCAAATTAATATAACAAAAAGGACAGGGAGAAAGAATGGCAATAAGCCCTGTCACCTTTCCAAGGTAGGGCCAAATACTATTTACTATTGCCTTTCAAGTGTCACTTGTTCATTGCTACTGGCCTGCCAGGTGTCTGGTCCCCACTGCCTCTTGGCTGTATGCTAGGGCTTGAAAAGGGAAAAACAAAAGCCATGGTAAGAATAACAAAGGGATATAATGCTTTTTTGAGGTAGCAATGCCCCGCTCTGTAAGTGTAATATGTAAGTTAGTGAAGCATTCCATAATTTATGTATTTATGGTATTTATGTATTTTCTATCTATCTATCTCTCTATCTCTCTCTCTATCTCTCTCTATCTCTCTATCTCTCTCTCTCTCTCTCTCTCTCTATCTATCTATCTATCTATCTATCTATCTATCTATCTATCTTTTTTAGAAATAGGAAAAATTGAACACATGAGTTGTCCTTTTAGTATTACGTGTCTTCTGTAACAGAGGGAGGTGATGTTACTGCATTCAGATGTTCAGAGAACTTCCAAGGCAATTTGGTATTTAAATTTCATCACTAAGGAAGAGGCCTTGTTTGTTCTTTTCCTTCTTTCTGTGTTTCTTCAAGGAAAAGCAGGGCATTGGGGGTAGCTGCAATGGTTTGTGTTGGCAGAATGTCAGGTCACAATGACCAGGCATGCTGGCACAAAGGGACTTGTAGGAGTCAGTGCTGCATGGGCAGACCTCTGAGTTTAGTTCTCTGTGTTTCTGATTATAGTTTATAAAGGAGATTTTGGACCAGCATAGAAACACACATCTGAAATCTGTGTACTTTAGAATCTGCTGCAGGAAAACTCTGGATTTGAGGTTAGTCTGGACTGTATAGACAGAGGCTGTCTCAAAGGGGAAATGGGGCATTTAAAGATTGCATTTCTTTTTTGTTTAAAGATTAATATATGTTTCAAGTATTTTGCAACTACACTGCTGGGTGCACATATTTTGTGATTATTATGTTTTGTGGCTCCTGAGTAAACTATTTTTTTCTCTTTGATACTTTTTGCTTTGACTTATTTATTTTTTAGATTAATATTGCTACAAATTTTTGCTCTCCTTCCCTTCTCATTCTTTTTTTTCACCTCTCTCTTTCCCTTTTTTTCACATAGTGGCAAATCCATAGGTGATCTCATGTCTATTTCTGCTTTAGGTGAAATACAATGTGTTACTAGATTTTTTTAAAGTTTAATATTATTAAAACCTTAATATTAATAGTGCAGGTAGACATTTTTCCAGTAATTCACCTGGAGTTCCAGCAGTCTCTTCAAGACAAGGGTGTGTTTGGAGACAGGGGTCTAGGGTGGATCTCAACTCTGTTCCTGTTATCTATGTAAAGTGTGAGGAGTTACTTACCCTCCTACCCACTCTCAGTTTTCTACATGCAGCAGTATGGAATTGACAGAGGTTTGCCATGTTGATTAAGTGTCCCTACACACAGTGCCTGGGCAAAGGTCCTTTCCCTTAGTGTCTTACCCCTAGTTAAGTACCTTAAACCTAGGTTTCTATTGTTGAACAGAATCTAGAGATTTGGCTCATTTTTCTCATTGTACCATTGTAATGATAGCAGAATTATAATTATGTAGTTAAGGAACTGAATCCCTATATTTGATTTTACTGTTATCAAGAAAGGAGTTGATTGATAGAAGCAAATGAACTGTTTTTTGTTTATTGTATGATTCACTGTGCTGAGAACAGTATAATCAACTTCTCTGCAGGCATCTCTAAAAATCATTAATCAAATTTTACACTTTTAAAGTTATTTTTTAGCTTTTTTTAAATGAAGTCATTTAATTAATACTTAGTTTTCATGTGCAACCAGTGTACACCCCAAACAACCTGATATGTGACTCATAACCACCATCACACTGAACACCAGTACCTCTTTGAGAGACACTATATTTTAAGAATTTTAAAAATAAACTCATAGAAGTGATTAGATGAAAAAATTACTTATTATTTTCAAACACATAGGAATTTAACTCCATTGAAGATGGCTAGATTCTGATTTGGAAACCAGAGACATTGTTATGAATCGGTCTATTTACTATTGATGATGATGGCAGTTTGGACTTGGGAAGGCAAGACTAAAACAAAATTAGACAGTGTTTCTGTAAGAAAAATACTCATACCAACAGGCTATCTTTGCTTGCAGTGTTTGTAAAATCTCTTATTTTAGATTAATTAAAGAGATCATAGAGGGAAAGAGGAGAGAAAGGAAAAGAGAAAAGATAGGTATCAGTCTCTTCAAGTGAAGTCACTGGAGGGCAGTGGTTTCTTCAACAGTTAAGAACAATACAGACTTGCTGTTGAAATTGTTTTTATGCAAGCGTAACAAACTGTTAGATTAAAAAAATCTTTATCCTTGAAACTGGCATTATCTTTGTCATAGATTGCTGGCATTTAGTATTCAAGCTTCCTTATTTTTTTTGAACGGTTGTCACTAGAGGGTTGCATGTAGAATATCTAACGATTTAATTAATCTCATAGGCCCTTGCATCTGTAAATCAATGAAAAGAAAAATAAGATAAGCTCGTCTTTTTATATTCATGGAAACAATTGCTTATGAATTGATTTGAAACAATTAGTAGTAGAAAATTTAAAATAACAAAGGTACATGGTCTTTAAAAATACTTTTCAATTTCATAGCATCTGTCCATACGATGATGGAGTAATATGAGAAGGAAAGAGGAATAATGTAGAGGGAGGTTTAAGTGGAGAGAGGGTTGGAGGGATAGGCAGAGGAGGGGTTTAGAGAGGGATAACTAACCCTATGAAGCATCTGTACTTCACTCAACTGCTTAATTTTACAAACTTGAACAGATTCCATGGAATTTGATTTCCTGTATCTAAACACCAAAATGTTAGAATTTATTCATTCTCCACAGTGTATCTCAGTGAGTTTACCTCAGCAAATGAAACACAAACACAGAAGACAGCTGGAGAATACAGGGATCATAATGTTACAGAGCTTGTCAATCATCATCCTCACACAGCCTTAATGAAACACAGCCTGAAAGAAATGAACTGCATCTACATAATTGCATATTTGAAAAATTAATCAAAAAGCTAATTACCAAGAAGCTTATTAGCTAAATCCCACTTCATTTTTCCTGAGTGTTTATGTTTATGGTAAGACAAGCAGTAGATAACCTTACTGCATAATGCAGGTATGAAAGTGATGGTAGAAATGAAAGCCTTGTCCTTTTCATTGGTTAGTTTGTGGGTTTTTTGTCTGTTTGTTTGGTCCTTATTTTTGATATAGCATCTTGGTATGTTATCCATGCTGCTCTTCAATCCCTGGGTTTATCAATAGGTCTGTCTTCTAGACATGAGAAGACTTGGTCTGCAAAATCATAGACCACTGACATCTCTATGAAAGTACCCAGTGGTCTGATTTGTCCAGTCCCAATCTCTAAATCTCTTTCTATGATTTACTTTCCCTCAACAGCTCAGGAAGAAAGTTCTGCTGAGTATCATTCTTGACTTCCTTTTCTTGAAGTTAGCACATCAAAAAAGCCTGCTATAAAGGTTTCACTTTTAACACATACTCAGAATTAAGTTACCTCATCATATTCAACTTTATCTCCTATGTTCACAGCACTTCGCCTCCCATTTGGGTAATCATCATAGACACTTAATTGATATTGGTCTCATCCTGATCCCTTTAGGGTCTATTCTCAACAGTGTGGCCAGTAGGGTGGGTAACATTTAATATATATTTTTCTGCTGGGTTGTTCTGAAGTCTCCCCTCTCTTCCTAGATGGTAAAGCATGCACCATAGCTGATGAGGGCTAAACCTGACCCTCATTTTTCTCTTGGATTTCTCATTATTTTCTGACAGAAATATATGGCCACCTCAAGGCTTCTGTATTTGCCAGTTTCTCTGCCTACATGGCTATATGCCCCTCATCCCTTCCAATATTCACTTAAACATCCTTTTAGAGAGAACTTTCCTGGCCTTCTCATTTAAAATTGCAGTCATCCTCAATGGTTCACTCACTTGTCAGTACCTACGCTATGATGTGTTCCTTATTTACTTAAAAAATATCCTCCTTAGTCAGAGTACCAGCTCCTTGAAAATAGGGATGTTTTAAATAAAGATTATCGTATTGTGTGCTTAGCAGAATGTGAATAGTAGATGGTGTATGTAAGATGAATGAGTAGACAAACATACCAAAGAGATTCTTAGTGCAATCTTGTGTCACATGCGCTTTGAAACACCATAGTGTTGTTCATATGACTCTTCCCATGATTTTTATTTTAATCTCACTGGTTGGAATCATACAATGACTTATATGGATATAATTTATTTATTAAGGGGCCTTTAAATATTTTGAAAGTTGTCATTAATGAAGTGTAGGATGCACATTGTTCACTGACCTCCTTGAGCATACAAGGATGTGTTTTCTGGGTAGTGTGACACATTTCTAGTGTGTCATCTTTGCTGCCCCAAGATATTTCCTACATAGTGTGGGCTCTTCAAGAGGTGATATTTGGGGCTTGGAAGGTGGAGGTTAGCAGGAGTCACAGTTCACACTTGAGGAGGTGGATAGTGTTGAGCCCAGCAATGGGAGTTCATGAATGTACATGCTTTTGTCTTTTTTCAGATGACCAGCACTGGGCAGGAGCTGAACATTCCCTTCAGCTTTGCCTACTCTTCGGCAAGTTCAAGGTTTGGCTCCATGCTGACATGTTCCAGTTCCATATCTAGAAAACCTCAACCACCCAAGTGAGGGGATTGGTGGTGGGAGACTAATGTAGATTTTCATTCTTCCCTGTTATTTCAGATTCAGCCTCCAGGTCCCAATGAATTCTTCCTTCCATGAAGTCAATATTTTCTATTTCCTTCCAGACTGTCCTGTGGATTCCAGGCTTCATCCACAGTCACATATGTTGTGTCAGCACACTAAGATCTCCAAGATCTAAAAACTACTTCTACTTCTCTGATAAAATACTGGTTGACACAGGATTTTAACAAAAACATGTTTTATAGAATAGCTACATTTTTTCATTTTGATAGATTAAAACTTTATGAACTTTTGGGAACGTTTTATCTGTGAATTTGTGAATCATTTTTATTTATTTATCTATTTTTTTTTTTACATCTTAGTGACACTTAGGATCCTGTTTGGATTTACTGACTGCTGGGAAGTGCCTATGGAGGGGATGGGGAGGACAAAAAGAGCCACAGAACAAACAATGTCTAGCTTTCTAGGCACAGCTGGCCTCAGTTAGTTGGACCACTGTGAATAAATTTGCATTTTAAATACTTCTTTGTAATGCTAGGAATCAATTACGTAATTTCAACAAAATAAAAGTTTTTTTTTTTTTTTTCTGTAGACTGTCATAGAAGGTTTGCTGTTTATGAACAAAAGCAATTTACTCAAATGTGCATTTTTCCTCTGGGCAGATGTTGGGCAGATGTTTGTATTATAGACACATGGAGACTTGTAGGAAAAACACTCTTCTAATTACTCAAAGCAGCCAACACTATGTTGTGTAACTTATGATGGAATTTAAAATCTCACGGCCATTATTCTCATTATGATGCCATAACAGTTTGCTGATCCTTTGATCTCTGTTATGGCCTGAGAAGAATTTCTTTAGACTTCTCTGCTCACTGAGGCCACACTGTAAAATATTTTACTCTCTTTTTCCTTGTTATTGTTTGAAATAGGTTTTGGCAGACACAATCTTCTTCAAATGTTGCTTTCCTTTAACATAATGGATTTCTTCCCAATTGCTAGTCCCTAAAAACATCAATAATGAGAGAACTGGCTTCAAAAGTTGGATTGCCATCTTTGGAAGAATGT